CCATCGCTCCCAAGATGTTTTCCGGTCATATGCTGTGAGCAGCGCCAGCGACTCATCCTCCGCCGACCTCCCGAGGATCGCTCAGCGGACACAACAGCGGTCGCCCAATCAGGAATGTGCCCCAGGTTTCAGGCCTCCAAGACCTGTGGGTCGTCCGTCAAACGGACGACCCAATGGCCTGGAGTGAGACAGGCCATCAAATGGCAGCTAGAAGCAAGTGGCAACTCCTCAGTAGGTCAGTGCTGCGCTCCTATTACCCGCGCAAGTGGTGTTTGACGGACCGCACTCCTGCCTCCCACAGTCCGCGAATCGCAGGGCTGAAGGAGGCATTGAAACTTCCAGGGATGCCTGTGTTACTCCAGAGGGCGCGATGGTCCCCCAACGCCAATGGACCGGCCTCAAACTGTCTCGCAGCGTCGCGGTGCGCACCCACAAATGTGTCCCTCCTATCGCTTACACGGTAACCGGCAGGCCGCCGGGCCGCGAAACGATGCAAAAGCCGTAAGGATGTCGGGGCGAATAGGTCACTGAACACCTCCAAGTGGACAGCGCGACTGTGAAGCAGACGAGACAGGCAATATATCCCCTGAGGTCGGTTACGTCCGGCGCCCTCGAACGACGCACCGCGACCGTTGATCCGCATAATCCACCCCGGTGGCAGAAAAACAGGTGGCATGAGGCAACACCCGATCGCGGAGCAGCGAAGCGCATGAACGGGGTGATCGGGGTGCCTTATTACGTGTGCAGCGCCACAGCCCCGGATCACCTGGCGCACGGAAAGAGCGCCCAGCTGGAATCCGAATTTTTCGCTTGCGCCTCACGGTGAGCAACGTCAGCTGCACTCCCCCGTGCAGCGTGCGTTCGTGCGCATCTCGCACAACGGAGAGTCGCGAGCCGAGAGCGTCGCGGTAGCAGGACTGGCTGCCTTCGAGCCGGATCGGGAGCGGTAGTCTCGGACCTGGGTCGGTTTGTTTAGCTCGGGCTCCGTTATGTCTAAGGAGGAGGACATTCTTGGGCTCATCGAGCTGCAATACGACCGGCAGCACCGCATGGAGCGGCTGCTGGACAATGCACGCAAGTCCGGTCAACTGAAGTCAGTTGGCGGGTTGACGTCTCGTTTGCAGGTTCTCGACACGTACTGGGCTCAGTTCCAGGATGATCATCGCACGATCCGAGCGTCTCGCCTCAAGACCGTGCGAGAGTCGACTACGTGCAACAGGATGCCTGTGGCACGGTACAGGAAGTCTACATTGCGCAGCGCGCAGAAATCCAAACCCTGCTCGATGGGTTGAAGGTTCAGGAGGCTGAGTCGGCTGCTCACGCAGTTCCCGCGCAGGCGGTAGTGCCCGAGGCTTCGTTGCCTCGCATTCCCATTCCGAAGTTCGAAGGGAAGTTTGACGAATGGCGCAATTTTAAGGATCTCTTCGAGTCCTTAATAGTCGATAACCCGTCGTTAGCATCAGTTCACCGGATGCATTATTTAAAACAGAGCGTGTCGGGAGAGCCTGAACGTCTGCTCCGGCACTACGGCGTCGCTACTGGCTCGTTTGAGCAAGCGTGGGAAGCGCTATGTGCACGGTACGATAACCGTCGTTTGCTTGTGGACCAGCATCTCGACGCTTTCCGGGATATTGGCCCGATGCGTCAGGAGAGCGTCTCCGAGGTTCGGAGGCTGCTGGATCGAGCCAGCGAGCTGCGAGCCGCCTTGCGCCTTCTTGACCAGCCAGTGGATGCTTGGGACGTGATATTGGTCAATATCCTCCGTTCCAAGCTAGACTCTGCAACGCGGCGGGCCTGGGAGATGGCCACCGCGGACCGGCGCGAGCCAGTGAGCTGGGACAGACTGGCAGTCTTCCTGGACGAGCGTCGGGTGGCGCTCGAGGCGGTTGCCGCGGCTCCGTCCATTGGGGACAGCCCCCGTGCCTCATCGGCATCCGAGCGGACTGGTCGACGATCGCTGCATCTCCATCGGCCCAAGCCGACCCGTTGCGCTGAGTGCGGTTCTGAGCATGGACTCAGAGAGTGTTCGGCCTTTAAAGATCGGCCGGTCTCTTCGCGACGGGCAAGGGTGCGCGCTCTCGGGTTGTGCTTCAACTGCCTCGGTCCGTCGCACCAGGCGGCCGCTTGCCCGTCTAAGGGTCCGATGTCGGGAGTGCGGAGAGCCGCACCTTCACTTCTGCACTCCGCCCAGCAGTCTCCGGCCCCGGCGTCGGGGGAAGCGCCGGTCACGCGCATGCTGCGACGCGGATGCCTGCGCAGCGAGTGCTTTGGCCACAGCCAGGGTTTGTCTGATGGCGTCCGATGGCCGATCCGCTGTGGTTCGAGCGCTCATTGACCAGGGCTCTGAGGGGAGCCTGGTGTCCGAGGCGCTTGCGCAGCGGCTGCGCGCGTCTCGTAGATCGGTGGATGTCGGCTGTCGGGCGTCTCAGAGGGACCCCTCAGCGGGTGCGGGCCAGCACGTCATTGCGGCTCAGGGCAACTGCTGGCCTCCCGTTCTCCACCACGGTGGAGGCCCTCATTCTACCGAGGCTTACGGCGTACCACCCCCCGCAGAGGGCTCGGCTGACGGGGAAGTGGTCGCATTTGAGGAACCTCCGATTGGCGGATGATCACGATGATGACGAGCGCATCGAGGCGATACTTGGAGCGGAGGTATTCGCCGAGATCGTGTTGACGGGGCTTCGCCGGGCCCGAGGGGAGCTCCCGTCGCGCAGCGTACCCGCTTGGGGTGGGTGCTGTTCGGGGCTCTCCCGTCTGCCGCCGGAGCGGGCGGCTCTCATTGTCATGTGGTGCAGTGTGCGTCGGACAACATGGCGGATCTCTTGCGGCGCTTCTGGGAGGTGGAGGAGATTCCGGTTGCTTCCCCGCTCTCTGAGAGGAGCGGGCTTGTGAAGAGTTTTTCGCGGCGTCCTTTCGGCGTCGTGCGGACGGCCGCTATCAGGTGCGGTTGCCTTTCAGGAGCCCTCCGACTGAGCTGTCTCTCGGCGACACTCGGCGGATTGCCACTGCCTCGTTGCATCGCTTGGAGCGGCGACTGCTTCGGCAGCCTTCCTTGGGCGGGGCCTATCGCGACTTTCTTGATGACTATGAACGACAGGGGCATATGATCCGCCTGCCGCTCAATGTCGAGACTCCGCGGCTCTCTTACTTTATTCCACATCACCCGGTGATTAAACAAGCCCCCGAGCTTAAAGTAAGAGTGGTGTTCAACGCCTCGCAGGCGTCCACCAATGGCCGGTCGTTGAACGACTTGTGCACGTGGGCCGCGCTTACAGCGAGAACTGGGCGAGATTCTACTTGCCTGGCGCATGCATCGAGTGGCCTTCTCTGCAGACATCGAGCAAATGTTTCGTCAAGTGCGGGTGGCTCCGGAGGATCAACACCTCCAACAGATTCTCTGGCGAGACAGCCAGACGCAGACAATATCGGTGTACCGGTTGACCACGGTCACCTATGGCATGGCGTGCGCTCCTTATCTGGCCATCCGCACGCTGCACCAGCTGGCGCTGGATGAGCGGGAACGTTATCCCCGGGCAGCAGACTTACTTCGTCGACAAACCTACGTCGACGATATTCTTGCGGGGGCAGATGACCTTGGGGAGGCACGCAGTCGACAGCGTGAGCTGAGCAGCTTGCTCATGGCGGGCGGGTTCCGACTCAGGAAGTGGGCGGCCTCACATCCGGAACTCTTGTCCGGTATCCCGGAGGGGGACCGCGAGCCTTTGGTGCCTCTGCCGGACCCTGGGCCGTGGGTGCATCTGTGCTGGGGGTCGGTTGGATTCCGGTCGAGGATGCATTCTGCTTTTCGGTCAACCCCGGGGCTCAATCAGCCATCTCGAAGCGTGGCATCTGTCAGTCGTTGCGCGATTATACGACCCCCTGGGCTGTTGGGGCCTATGGTAGTACTGGCGAAGATCCTCCTTCAGGACTTGTGGTTGGCCGGGCTCGGTTGGGACGAGGCTCTCCCTTCTCCGCTCTCGCGACGTTGGGACGCCTTTAGCACCGGGCTCGCGGAGGTTTCCGCGATCCGAGTTCCTCGCTGGACCGGATGGTCGCCTGAAGTGGAGATCCAGCTTCACGGCTTCTCGGACGCCTCGGAGCGGGCGGACGCCGGCGTCATCTACTTACGGGGCTCGACGGTCTGATGGGACCACCCGTGTCGCTCTATTGGCGTCCAAGACCAGGGTCGCCCCACTAAAGCGGGTAACGTTGCCCCGCCTGGAGCTGTGCGGTGCGCAGCTGCTCTCGCGCCTCATGAAGGCCATGGTGGAGGCGCTCGGTTGTGCCGAGGCCTCCCTGGTTTGTTGGACCGACTCTTCTGTCACGCTCCATTGGATAACAGGGCATCCATCTCGATGGACCACCTTTGTCGCCAATCGCGTCTCGTACATTCACGAGAGCCTTCCGCGGGCCTCGTGGCGGCATATCCCGTCTGGCGACAATCCCGCGGATTGCGCCTCCCGGGTTTGTTGGCCGGCGGGCTACGAGAACACGCCCTTTGGTGGCGTGGCCCCTCCTGGCTTGTCGAGGACCCGGCGGGCTGGCCGGGTCTAACTTGCGTCGCGAGCGACCGAAGCACTTGCGAGGAACGGTGCATGGTTCACGTGGTGGCCGTGAACCCGGAGGACTGGTCCGGTGTCCTCCGAGCATGCTCCTTCCGCAAGGCCATCCGCGTGATGGCCTATGTACGACGATTCCTGCGAGTCCCACGGATCAGTGGACCCTTAACGGCGGACGAGCTGAGTGAAGCTCGACTGCGCCTGCTGCGGGTTACGCAGCACCGCTTCTTCGCGGAGGAATTGGGCCGTCTGAAGCGGGGGGGAGCATTGATGGTGAGATCGGCGTTGCGGCCACTCAACCCCATGATGGACGAGCGGGACCTCTTGCGGGTGGGGGGCCGCCTGCAATTCTCAGCGTTACCGATCGATGCACGGCAGCCAGTCCTGCTACCGCGACGCTCTCGGCTCGCGACTCTCGTTGTGCGAGATGCGCACGAACGCACGCTGCACGGGGGAGTGCAGCTGACGTTGCTCACCGTGAGGCGCGAATTCTGGATTCCAGCTGGGCGCTCTTTCGTGCGCCAGGTGATCCGGGGCTGTGTGCGCTGCACACGTCATAAGGGCACCCCGATCACCCCGTTCATGGCTCCGCTGCCTCGCGATCGGGTGTTGCCTCATCCACCGTTTTCTGCCACCGGGGTGGATTATGCTGGACCGGTCGCGGTGCGTCCGTCTCGAGGGCGCGGACGTACCACCTCCAAGGGATATATTGCTGTCTTCGTCTGCTTCAGCACGCGCGCTGTCCACTTGGAGGTGGTCAGTGACTATTCGGCCCCGACCTTCTTAGCGGCTTTTCATCGTTTCGCGGCCCGGCGGGGCCTGCCGGTTACCGTGTACAGCGATAGGGGGACCACATTTGTGGGTGCGGACCGCGAGCTGCGAGGGCAGTTTGAGGCGGTCATGGCGTTGGGGGGACCAGTCGCGGCCTCCTTGAGTAACCAGGGCATCACCTGGAAGTTCATGCCTCCTTCAGCTCCGCATTTCGGCGGACTGTGGGAGGCAGGAGTGCGGTCCGTCAAACACCACTTGCGACGGGTAATAGGAGAGCAGGCACTGACCTATGAGGAGTTCGCCACTCTTCTAGCTCGCATTGAGGCCTGTCTCAACTCCAGGCCATTGTGTCCGTTGACGGACGACCCACAGGACTTGGAGGCCCTGACACCTGGGCACTTCCTGATTGGGCGCCCGCTGTTGTGTCCGCCTGAGCGATCCCTCGGGGACGTTCAGGTCGCGAGGATGAGTCGCTGGCAGCTGCTCCAGCATATGACGGAGCATCTTTGGGAGCGATGGTCTAGAGAATATCTAGCCCAGCTCCAGGTCCGGGGCAAGTGGCTCATCGCTTCTCGTCCGTTAGACATCGGCGACCTCGTGCTCTTGGCGGATAGCCGATTTCCTCCTACCCGGTGGCCTCTCGGCCGCATCACCGGCTTGCTGCCTGGCCCGGATGGGCACGTCCGCGTGGCGCAGGTGCGCACAGCGGACTCGACCCTGACCCGGCCACTGGTCAGGCTGGTGAGGCTCCCTGTGGATCCGAAAGGGGCTCATCCCAATCAACCTTCAACATGAAGGGGATCAACAGGCCCTCACGGCCGCCAGGCCGCGAGTGGGGCCTTCCTGGTGGGGTTTGTTCCACCACTGACTTCCGTCGCCGCGACGGAGGCGGGCGGTATGTTCCGTACAGCATCACGTGCTGTACGGATAGTCGGTGCGAGTCAACGCTGCAGGGCGGGCGGCCTGGTGCCCGGGGCGTTCTCGCTGGCGGCGGGGGACTCGGGTTCTCGCGAGCGAGCGCGCGGGACCCCCACTAGGTCCAACCGCGGCCGCTACACGGCGCGGCTCGCGATTCCGCTGCCCGCGGGCAAGATTCGACCGCCCGGATATATAACCAGGCGCGCGATGCCTGGTCCTTGCCTTGTCTTGTCTTCTGCCTGGCCAGTTTAGGTAGCAAGTAGTGCTACACGTTAGTGCATCGTGTTACTGGTGATTACCGACGCGCTTTCTAGGCTTCCTAGGGCGATCGGGTATTTCGTTTCAGATTCGAACCATCGCTCTATAGACTCTGCTGAGTTGAAGGTGGCGCCGACACACCCTGCTGGGTTGAGGCAAATGGTTCGAACCTCGTTTTGTGATCTCGGGCTCACGGCGTTGCCGTGATCTTAGGAGCGACTCGACCGTCTCCTCGGAGCTTCGAGCTCCCTTATTGCCCAAGTGTCCGTAGGGGGCCTTGGCGGTTTTGGAGCGGCTCGGTCGCAGTCCTAGAGCGGTCGCGCTCCTTCGTCCAAGTGTCCATTGGGAACTTGGCTTTCTCGCAGGAGCGACTTGGTCGTCCTGCGAGCCGGAGCTCTCGGAGCTCCGTTTCCACGCGTCCTCGGGACCGTGGCTGGCTATTGGCCATTACGCCCGGAAGGGCAGGCCATCCGAAACGACGGAGGTCGTTTCGTTGCACGTCCTTGGCGTGCTTCGGGTGCCGCGCACCGTTGACGTCACGGACGTGTGTCCTGCGGGACTTGCGTAGGCGACGTTGTTTCGCTTATATATAGCTACGTTTAGGTTCTTCTGCGTCGTTCTTCTGCGTTATTCTCTTCTGCGTTACTACTGCGTCTATTGCGTCCATTGCGTTTACACTGCGTGTCACTTTACATCGGCACGTGCGCGTGCTTCTTCTCTCTTGTTCTCACCGCCGTCCCTGCGCGCGCGCTCCTGGTTATATATCCGGGCGGTCGAATCTTGCCCGCGGGCAGCGGAATCGCGAGCCGCGCCGTGTAGCGGCCGCGGTTGGACCTAGTGGGGGTCCCGCGCGCTCGCTCGCGAGAACCCGAGTCCCCCGCCGCCAGCGAGAACGCCCCGGGCACCAGGCCGCCCGCCCTGCAGCGTTGACTCGCACCGACTATCCGTACAGCACGTGATGCTGTACGGAACACCCGCCATTTTGAAAAAATATCGTTGCGCACAATTTCGATAAATCTTTCGAAAGTACGGTTTCAAAGCTTTCAAACCGTTTTTGAAATTTGCTGCTAGGATATTTAGGTGTCGAGATATTCAATTTCGAATTTGCAACAAATGTCGATTCAGCGAGGCTTAAGGGGCTAAGAGGCTCTGCGGTTCGTTTGGCTCTTTCATAATTTCAATAGCCGCGTTCATTATTCTCTATACAATAATTTACACAATTTTGCGAATTGGAAATTTAATTTTTTTCAAAAGTTATCATTCTTTACCCTTCAGTTACGCATGATCACTGTGGTATACATTTTAGTTCGCGAAGCTGTCCCTAGCTTTCTACCTTCTCCGTACGATTGGCCATTATGGTACACAGCTTGAATATGCTGTTCAGGATCGCGCCTGAGTTCGCGGTGACCCGGCGCGCCGAGTCGCTGGACGCCACCTGAACGTCGAAATTCCCTGGCGCTCCTAGTCCACGGAGCCGCCGCGACGCGGCGATCTGGGTTGTCGCGCGCGCGAGCCCCTCGGCTCGCACGCGAGTTCGAGCTGCCCAGGGCATATAAGAGTGCCCGCGGAGACGATCAGAGATTGCCTTCGTACAGCTTTTGGCCTTCGTACGGTCCACCGCCGATAGTGACACTATCTCTTGTACGCTGGACTTCGCGAGTTTGTCAGTACGCCGGGCTTACGTTCTGGCTTGACTGAGATTCTGTCGGTGCGCCGGGCTTTAACGCCTGGCTTGACTGGATTTTTCTTAAATATATGTGCCAAGACAATAAACAAAGACAAACAATTTTCCTTTTCCGAACGTGTTCACTCCGATAAGCGCTGCCTCGTGCGACTTTTCTTTTTCCGTGATCTTTTCCTTTCGAGGCGCGTTGCTTCGTGCAACTTCATCAATTTAAACCATAATTGATTGTTTCGCATCGAAATTATTGCGTCGATTATGGCGACGATAAATCCTGAAAAGGCTGCTCAAGTTATTGCTTTAATTGAAGATGGCAGAAGTCGAAGGTACGTTGCTCAGGCACTTGATTTGTCAGTGTCAACTGTGCAACGTGCTTATGCCAGGTACTTACAAACCAATTCTTTCCATAGAAGGCCTGGTTCGGGATGTCCTCGATGTACCAATCACAATGATGACCGATTTATTGTTTCAAATTCGTTAAGAGACAAACATCGAACATCTGTTCAAATTAGAAACAATTTAAGGGATGTCCGCAACATTAATGTATCCATTAACACCGTTCGGAGAAGATTAAAGGAACAAAATCTGCTTTCGTGCAGGCCAGCAGCTGTACCTTTGCTTAAATGTCACCATCGCGTAGCTCGACTCAATTTTGCAGTTGAGCATAGAGACTGGACTTACGCAGACTGGAGCAAAGTACTCTTTAGCGATGAATCTCGTTTTTGTGTCTATTCTCCAGATGGACGAGAACGAGTTTATCGTCGCGGTGGAAAACGATTTGCAGACTGTACGGTAAGTGAGAGGCATAGCTACAATGGAGGCTCTGTAATGATTTGGGCAGGAATTTCAGCTAATGCTCATACAGATCAGCACTTTTTTGACAAGAATATAAGAGAATATAAGAGAAATAAGAAGAACGCAGATGTATACGTGGAAGACATACTCATTCCATATGTTGTTCCGCACCCTTCATCGGAGAGAACTTCTTGTTTATGCAAGACAATGCTCAACCACACACTGCGAGAAGAGTGCTTGATTTCTTCGATGAAGTTGGCATAAATCGACTCGATTGGCCAGCAAATAGTCCAGATTTAAATCCAATCGAACACTTATGGGACAACCTCGGCAGGAAAGTACGAAATCACGTACCTGCTCCTCAGTCACTGCGAGAACTGCGAATAATTCTCGAAAACGAATGGAATACAATTACGTAGGATGAAATTAAAAGACTAATAAGGAGTATGCCTGATCGTATGAATGAGGTAATACGCGCACGAGGCAGTCATACCCACTATTAGTACACACACATCACACACACAGCAGAGAGGGTTTGGAGTCATTAATTACTGCAGGAGTGACGAACTGCGGGGTCCTTATCTCTGCTGTAACACCACACACACACAAACACACACACACACACACACACACACACACACTACATACAATGGGACTTTTCCTACCAGTAAAACTCCATGCGGTTTATATTGGGAAGACTTACAACCATAATTTGAGCTAATGACAGCGGTATCTTAAAACGCAATTCATCTTTATTACGTAATATCGATTACGCAAAATGAAGAACCTAAATTGAATTTTACTTTCATTTCCCTGGCCTTCAAAATAATAAATGCAAATCATTGAATATATTGTGCAGGTTATGTAAATTATTATATAGAGAAACATGAACACAGCTATTGAAATTATGAAAGAGCCAAACGAACCGCAGAGCCTTTTAGTCCCTTAAGCCTCGCTGAATCGACATTTGTTGCAAATTCGAAATTGAATATCTCGACATCTAAATATCCTAGCAGCAAATTTCAAAAACGGTTTGAAAGCTTTGAAACCATACTTTTCGAAAGATCTATCGAAATTGTGCGCAACGATATTTCTTCAAAATGGCGGGTGGTAAAAAGGAGAACATGAAAAGTTGCTAAAAAAAGGTTCGAGCGTGCGACGGCACATGGAGCAAAGTAAGTGTCGCAGCTCAATGGGACGAAAAGTACCTAAAAGTATAGAATGTTTTCTTTAAAATATTTCGTTATAGAGCTTGATGCGATACTTATTCACTGAATTCTGCAAATTTAACAAGAAAACCGCATTTTTAGCAAAATTTGGAACAACTCAGTGAAAAATGATCACATCGAGCTCGGTAAAGTAGCATTTTAAAGATAACACTCTATACTTTCATGTGCATTTGGTCCCATTACGCTGCGATACCTGATGCACACCATGCCCCATCGCAAACACGGACCTATGATTATCAATTTTGCATCCTCTCACTTTATCATCCGCCATTTTGAAAAAAATGGCCGAGCATAATTGCCATTCAGATATTCTTAAAGAGGACGTTTCTTCATTTTGCATTTCTGCGCATATTTGTATCTTTATTATTTACCAAGTTATGATCATTTGAAATTTTGTAATTTTTTCCCAAATTTTTAGTGTACCGGGTTTTTTGCATTTGAGTGTATATTGATACGGATTTTTATATTGTGAAAGGAATATTGTATAAATAAGAGATGTTGAAAAGAAAATGTATAATTTATTATATAGGGTGTTTGATAGCTGATCATGCAGACGAAAGTTGGAGATAGATTGGGTGTAGCCGAGAAGAAAAGTCATGTACCATAATGTCAAATTGGCAATAGTTACCGAGTTATTAATTAAAACATGTGAGCCAATGAGCGCGTAGAGAGCGGAGGGCGGCCGCAGTAAGCACGTAGACATTTGATACAGGCGGAGTCAACGAGTGACGGTAGGCAAGCGCGCGCGGCGGAGGGCAACGTAAGCGACAAGAGGCGATCGCGCGCGACGAGGAGCGAGCGTGCTTTTTCTTTGTAGCTTTTTCCTTATAGCTCGCCCGCTCCTCGCCGTTCGCGCTTGCTCGCTCTTCGTCGCGCTCGCTCGCCTTTTATCGCTTGCGCAAAATATCGCATAA